TACCAATATAGTTGATAAAAACTTAACATGAAAACATAGAAAATAGAACCCCTTATCCTTTATCAAAACGCTGTTCTACATAAAGTTTATTAAAAAATACCCCCTCCTCTCTTTGGGTGACAAAAATATGTCAAAGGGCTAAAAAATCATGGAATTTGATGAGCTTATTTTGATTTTTTACAGGATTAAGATGGGCTGAGCTCTGAATTTGATTTCGATTCTAATGCCACTGCCATTTATTTGCTTCCTTTCACGTTTTTTTCTGGTCTGGGGCTAAATGGGATTTTATTTGGGCAGCGCTGCATAATAGATGATATGATATATAATATGATTTGCCTACACAAAACGAAAATCAACGCAAATCAAGGGAGCCCCCCATGTAGAGCCACACGACAATCAACTTGTTCATAATACATGAGCTTTTGAGACGGGGAGCATTTTATTTTTCTTTATTTTTTTTTTATTCTTTTTGGGAGGGTAATGGAAAAAATCTAGGGGGCTGGTATGGCTAGGGATGAGGATGGGGATGGGTGTGGGATGGACTGGTGTCGGCAATCAGTCAAATGTAATAATAAATAAATAAATAAATCAAAACCAGTGCACAATAAACAACGGACCATACAGGCGGTATTAGTGGCAGGTTGGATTAGAAATCGCAAATGGAAAATCTAAAATAAAAATGCCAGAGTATAGTATTCAGCGGAAAAGGTATTACAACAAATTATGGAAACAAATTAGAGATACATTTTTAATTAAAATGTTATTTGAGGAAGAGTTTTTTGGGCTTAGTACAATAAATATAAGGTACTCTCATCATCTAGTGTTGTAAAGCGTACAGTGATCCAAAACAATACCTAAACAATAACAGCGAATTCTTTTGAATTAAAATAATTGAACATAAATTATAGAAATATATGGAGAAAAATTATGGAGAGCACTAAGACTTTTTTATTCGTCGAATAAATATCACATTGTCTCCGTTTAAGTTTTAATATCACACACAGTGTTAGTCAATACTGTTTCACACACAAGCTTAGAGAATAGCACTATAATTACTAAAAAAAAATGTATATAAAATAATAAAATCTATCCCCTATCTTAGAACCGCTTTCAAACCATTAGCAAAATCAAAATCTAAAATAAACACCAAAAATCAACAGCCACACTCATTTAGTCATTCATTCGTAAACGCGTTCACTCGTTCACTTACTCACCCATTCATTCATTCAACCGTTCACTTATTCATCTTGCACTCACTCATCCACTCACTGGGGCATCCATTCAGGCATTCATTTTCCCTCGGTTGCATTCACACTTTTGCCCAGAAAAGGCCAGTTGTTCCACTTAATACTTACATTTCATAAACATATACATATGTATGTATGTGTTTATATATGTACATATATATTTTTTTAGATTTTATTTTATTGTCTCTTTCACACCCTCCATTTGCATCTCTTTCTATAGATGACTACTGCTGCGTTGGCAGCGATGTGGAAAATGTTACGCTACAATTTAATTGAAAGGATAATCAGGCGCACAGCGGCCAAGGAGTGCCAAGGACTCGTCACAGAGTTAGACAGAGAAAGGGAGAGGGAATTAAAAAGAGACGGGACAAAACTCGGAGACGGAGACGGACACGGACAAAAGGCAGCGCTAAAAGCTGCAAATGAATGAATGAGGCAAATAGAAATAAAATAGCAAACGGTGGCAGCGCAACATCGGCTTTTGTTGTACCCGTCAAGTGTCCTTTTTGATGACGACAACACGCAGCAGCCCAGCAAGGACTCTCACTTGAAAAAATGTTGACTAGAGTACGGGTTCGAATTTAAAATAAAAAATTAATTTTTGAAATAGAAATTTGTAAACTAAACTAAGGGGACTTATAGATTAATAGAAGGTCTACTAGAAGTTAAAAGAAGAACAGACAGAATTGAGTCTTTTTTTTAGATTTAAAGGCCTTACTTTTTTAGAAAGATTAAAAAAAAAGGTTCATAAGAAAAGTTTAAAAAAGAATAAATTACTGTTATTTAATAAATACTTTTTTAAAATTAAAAAGAGAAAAACTTAATGCTCTGAGCTCTTAAAAAATACTCCCTAATGTTATTGCTGTTTCTTACCTTTTTTTTATAAAAAAAATATTTATTTTTTTTTTCAAGTGCATCACAATGATTCCATCTGGTTGGGGGTTGCTCTGGTAGACCTCGCTTGTGGCCGGGTACGTGAGCCCACAACGTGGCTGGCTTTGCATCCTGTCCGCCCTGCGCCTCCGCGCCATGCCCTCCTCGACCCGATCCTCGCCAGGAGTGTAGTGTCCTGTGGTGCGCGGTACGTCCTGCGAAGGGTTGTCATCATCAACAAATGGGCTGGGAAGGTAGATGAGGGGGGTAGCCGAGAAAAAAAAAATGTATATATAAAATAAAATACAGAAACACATTGGCAAATGAAACTCGAATGAAATAAAATTAAATGCGCTGCGCAAGTTGCAAATGCGAGCAACAATCAAAAGGATTCACGCAGCGTGTCCTGTTCCTTGCTGTGAAAAATGTAATTTTAATCGAATTCACAGCACCACAGCTCACGGCTCACGGCTCAGCCCTCCTCTTGCTGGCTACCCCTTTTATTTTGCCTTTAAATAGTTTTCCATTCGAGTGGTAACCTTATTAGACTAGCTCCTGGCTTCCTTCTTTTTTTATTTATACTCGTTTGGGCAAGGACTAAGCTAGCCCCGATCCTTGGCCTGACGATCCTTCAGGCTTGATTCGTGTTGTGCCAACACTCGCCGAGTTAGGCCAGCGGGTGGCGCTCTGAAAGGCCAAAGGCATTCTTCCGCGAGAAATGCAATTAACTTGGCCATCTAACCCTCGTCCTTTCACTGATTTTTCTTTTAAAATTTTCTATTTTTCTCTGTTAACATCCCCTACTATTAAACCCCATACTATATAGCTATGGACCGACCGGCTTAGTTGCCGAACAAATCTCGGGGCCGGGCACAATTAAAACAAAAGGCATTCGGCGCTAATTAACATTGTTAGCATTAGCGCGCCAGGCTCGGCTCGAGGTTTTCAGGGGGAAAAACAAACACCCGGAAAAGTCCTGCGAAAAACACCAAAAAAATCGACTGGCTGCCAGCGGTGGCGGTGGGTAAACTTTGACCTTTTCCATTGGTCTACAGTTTGAACTCAAAAGTCGAAGCCATGATTCTCTTTGATTGGATTTTTTCACAAAAAAAGTAAAGGGGCAATATAAGCATAAGAAAGCACTTGAGGTTTAAGTTTCTTCATTCAATTAAATCCTTAGATAGTTGTTTTAAAATTGAATTTAAATTATATAGAACTTATCAAGGTCTCTTTAAGATATTATCTTAAATAATATTATTGATGAATAAAGGTCTTTTATTTATTACTTAACTTTTTATTACTCCTATAACTAACATCCATATAACTAGCTGTAAAATACAGTTGAAAAATAAGTAAGTCCCTAAATTTCAGACCATTTGGTGTATAATTCCATAAATATATACAAGACTTGAATTAAGTACTTGTTGATTTTTAAGAATATACCTTTTAAAAGATTCAAAACAGTGCTGACACTTAGATCAGTTTTTGAGAAAAAATTTTAGTTTTTTGTTTAGTTTTGTCCGTAAATATTCTTGAATTTCAATAAAAATGTATATACAAGGAAGTATTATTAATGCAAGTAATTTTTTTTAACTGTATGGCAAGGTTTTCAAAAAATCTCCTAAGCAGTGTTGCCACGTTGTACTGTTTTTGAAAACATTTGTGTTTTTTGGCAGTAGTGGCTGTAGTTTTGACTTTGAATATACATAGATGGGTAATAATGAAATAACAAGACATACATACAGTAACAATTCCCTGAAATAAAATATCTGCAAATAACCTTTAAATAAGTTTCAAATACATATTTTAAGGTGTTGCCACTTAGTTCCATTTAAGAAATTTTGTCTTTCTTTTTCTTTTGTTTTCTTAGACTGCAGTTTTTGTTTTTAATAAAAACATATAAAGGATTTCTTTTTAAATATTCAAGCAATAAGCAGTGTTGCCAATATGTCAATTTATTTGCAACTTTGTGGTTAAAATAACGTTGGTTAAATTAAAGAATTGACGTATAAATAATTCATGAAAAAACTTAAATAAGAATTATATCTCTGACAGGCTTATCTTGAAAAAGACAATAATTAAAAAAAAAGAGGGACCCAAAAAAATGCTTTTTTTTGATTTTTATTTATTTTTAGCAAAAAATACTCATAACGCTCTATTATTTATTATTTTTTAAAAAATCCTTCGCATGACAACCCTGCTCTAAAACAAGTCCCCCCATCATATCCTTTCTTTTTCTGTCAAAATATCTCTCTTCTCTCAAAAATGTTCAATTGCATGTATTCCCCTTCCCCAAATAGAGCCGACATATGTAAAATTAAATATTGTTTATTGCCAGAGCTAACCCGACCTTTGGCCCCGTATTAATCAACCTTCTGTGTACTCAGAGTCCCCATCTCCACATTCCCCTTTTTATATACAATTTTTTTTTTCGTCAGTCACTTGTTTATTTATTGACTTGCCAACCGTTTTGCACTCGTCGTGCCCCCTTTTTCCGTGTGACGGCAGTAGTAGCGCTGGTTAAACAAAAAAAAAAGGGGGCCAACATTTATAGCTAATTTTCTTGTCATTGTTTTGACTTTTACACCTTCGCAGGCGGCAAGCGGCAGTGGCACTGGCAGGAGGCAGTGGCAGGCGGCAGTGGCAGCGTCAGCGGCGTGTTTACCTGTAAATTTTCAACTCGAGTGGCGTCGTCGCATTGTTTGGCCATGTAAAATAATATTGTATTTGGCCTGTTTGCCTCTGCAACTTGGCTAATGAAGGGGGTGGTGTGATGGCGTTGGTCTGACAAAAAAAAAGGGTTTAAATGTCAAGCGAAGCCCTAAAGTATATGTCAGATAGTCCCCCTTAAAATATCAATAAATTCTCAACAAAAAAATATATATTAAAAAATAAGGTAGTTTATTTGTCATCTTCTCTAAAATCACGAAACAATCAAGTACAATGATCTCACAGCAACATCCACATTGTTATACAGTCATCTCCCATCGCGACGGATTTCTAGGTAATTGGACTCGGGACTATATGGGACTATAGTAATAAATCCACTTAAAAACACTCTCTGCACTTGATGGAATACTACATACATATGGAGTAAGTATTCTTGCATTCGAGGATCAACTACTCGCCTTGTTTCCGATTTTGAGGTTTGTGGGTAAAGAGTTTAAGGAACGAGTTTCCGAAAATTTGATTTAAAAGATTGGCGGGGAGTCTCTGTAGGAATCCCCAAGTTTTTGAATTTTGCGGCAATCTGGGGTTAAGTATGTCCTGGCTAAGTTAAGTTTTTTTTTTCTTGGCGCATTTGGTTGGGCAGGATTCGAAGTCCAAGCGGGGGATTCTTGCTAATATCCTACGGAGTTCGAATTCTTATGGTAAGAGCTGGGATTGGGGTTTCTGGAGAGGGGACTGTCATCCTCCACCTCCTATATATGTATCTCGGTGTTAGAACTTGTAGAAGCGGGCCAAGGCGTGCAGTGTCCCGGCGATCCGTTTTATCTTTTGACCGGCCAAGTCTTTTTCCTGGGGTTCATGTTTCTGTAAGCTATGCTCCGGTTGTTGGGCCTTCTTCGCTGCTTCCTTCACCCGCTCCATGTGTTCCACCCCTAGTGGCTTGTGGGGTATGCCCCGGTACTTGATTACTTTCTTCAGCTCCGACACTATCACTGAAGCTCTTAACGATGAAGACAATTTCACCGGTGATGGTAGAGGCAATGGTATCCTCAGGCGGATGTTGGCACCCATCGGGCACCCAAAGGCCAGCCGTCCCACGGTCTGTTGCTGCTCGGACTTTTTCCTCAGGCGGATCTTGCCCCCAGTCGGCGTCCCAAAGGCCAGCAGTCCCAGGGTCTGCTGCTGCTCGAACTTTTGCCGGAGCATCTCTAGCAGCTTCTCCTTCTTGCGCTGCTTCTGTTCGCGCTGCAATTCCATGGGCGAGATGAAGGGCGGAAAGCCTCCGTCGCCTCCGTTGCCTCCGTTTCCGCCTCTGTTGCCGCCTCCGTTGCCACTGCCGCCGCCACACGCACTGCCTCCCGTAAAAATCCCAGGGAAGAACTCTGCCAATTCTTCCTCAAGCTCTCTTTCTATTTCCATTTCCCGCATCACCCGAGCGGCAATGTGGCGCTTATAATGCTCGCTTACAGAGGTCCAAGGCTCACGAGCTCGCAGCCACAGGCGGTTCTGGTCTTGTCGTCGAGGCCGGGCCACCAGAATGAATTCCTCTGTCTTCCAATTGGACGGCGGGGCCGGAGTAGTAACGCCTTGAACTTTCAAGGACATGGGCATGCGGGGATCGGACGGCGGGGCCGGAGTAGTAACGCCTTGAACTTTCCAGGACATGGGTAGGCGGGGGTTGGTATATTTGACCTCACCGCGACCTTTAAATTAAAACTCTATTAATATCTATAACTTGAAACAAAAACTTATATTTCTGTCATGTCATGATGACTCTTCAATTTTTGTTTATTTTTAATATCTTATCCAAAAAAAAAGGAAAAGCCTCTTGTAACTGCAGAGCCTCTTCCTTTTTGGTAGTACCACCTTCCAATGGGTATACCTCCTTTACTCCTCAGAAGGTATACCTTTCCATCCAAATACTCACTTGCTATAACTTGAGCGGCCGATTTAATGGCTTTTATCTGATTACGACAACGTTTAAACATTTTTATTGAATTTCGTACTACTAATAGTCTTATAGAACTACTTATAGAAATTTTTAATTTGCAAAACAGTTTTTTAAAAATGACTAGACCGAAATTGTATAAAACTTAATATTACTTAATATTACGAGTGGGACGTGTTGTCTACACTTATACTAGTTTCAAACTGAATGGAAACGATGTCGACATGTAGCTAGTCTAGAAAACTTATAAGTCACAGCCTACTAGAATGGAGAAACTGTTCTAAGAAGAGATTTTAGTAACTTTTACAAATTTAAGCTTCAAATTTTATGAAAGATAATCCAGGGGGTGTTTTTTTTTAATAAAAGCTTCTATCCTTGTCATGACTTTCCACTTTTTTTAAATTTTTATTTTTTGTTAATATATTGCAAAAAATAACAAAAGAAAGGCCTAAGACCAAGGCTTTCGCTGCCTTTGCTTTACCAATAGTGTTAGTATAAATTTTAATTATAAATATTATGAATAAAGGAAAAGCCTATAGTAACTGTTTAGCCTCTACTTCTTTGGTAAGTAGTACCACCTTCCAATAGGTATACCTCCTTTATACCTCCTTTACTTAGAAGGTAAACCTCTGCATCCAAATACTCACTTGCTATAACTTGAGCGGCCGATTTAATGGCTTTTATCTGATTACGACAACGTTTAAACATTTTTATTGAATTTCGCACTACTTATAGTCTTATAGAACTACTTATAGAAATTTTTAATTTGCAAAACAGTTTTTTAAAAATGACCAAGACCGAAATTATTGTATAAAACTTAATATTACGAGTGGGACGTGTTGTCTACACTTATACTAGTTTCAAACTGAATGGAAACGATGTCGACATGTAGCTAGTCTAGGAAACTTAAAAGTCACAGCCTACGAGTATGGGGAAAATTTTAGATTTTTGTAACTTTTAAAAATTGTAGATTTTAACTTTTATGAAAGATGATCCAGGAATTCTTAAGAAATGTGGTAACATGTCGTAATATCATGCCATAATGGCTTTATAAAATATTAAGCTTTTTTATCGATATTTTTGTTTCTATTTTCTTTATTTCATAGCATAATGGGTTTACATTAAGCTTATTGATTTTTACCGATATTTATTTCTATTGAAGCCTTTGAAACTTATTAGTTTAATAGACCTATATAACTTATAAGGTTTTGTTTCTAAAAAACAAACATTTTAATTTTTTTTGAAACAAAAGCTTTTATTTCTGAACTTTTCATGATAACTTTTTTTTTTTGTAATATATTTTCAAAAAAAAAAACAAAAGGAAACGCCTCTACCTCTTTGGTAGTACCTTCTAATAGGTATACCTCCTCTACTTCTCAGAAGGTATACCTTTCCATCCAAATACTCACTTGCTATAACTTGAGCGGCCGATTTAATGGCTTTTATCTGATTACGACAACGTTTAAACATTTTTATTGAATTTCGCACTACTTATAGTCTTATAGAACTACTTATAGAAATTTTAAATTTGCAAAATAGTTTTTTAAAAATCACCAAATGAGGAAAAAATGGTATCAAACTTAATATTACTTAATATTACGAATGGGACGTGTTGTCTACACTTATACTAGTTTCAAACTGAATAAACAGTGTCGACATTTCCTAGTCTAGAAAACTTATAACCCACAGCCTACTAGGATCGAGAAAATGTTAGAATTTAGAACCTTTTACAAATTTGTAAACTTATAGACCTCAGTTCTTCAAAGATATCAGTATTATTACCAACAAACTCCTTACGCATTGTCATTTAAGGAATATAAGAGGTCCTTAAGAAATTTATCAATGTATTTAGCGTCATAATTTTTAAGAAGCTTATCGATGTTTATTGATATTTCCGACCTCTAAGCTTAAAAGATCTTAGTTCTTAATACAAATTAGCATTAATACCAACAAAATACTCTTAAAATTAAGTGCATTGTATTATATGATGATCCAGGGTTTCTTATGTAATTTAGCTATATTTCTAGCGTCCTTATTTAAAGAACTTTATCGATTTTGATTGAGATTTATAAATATTTACTTTAACTTTTAATACTTTAATAACTTTTAAGCATAAATACTAATAATGTATTCTTAAAACAAAGTGCATTGCATATGATCCAGAGATTTTTAGGTAAATTATCTATATTTCTTGGTTCTTTATTTTAAATACGCATACCAATATTGGTTGATATTTAGGATCTCTGAGCTTAAAAGGCCTAAGTTTGATAAATATCATCAGTAATACATACAAAGTACTCTTTAAGTGCATTGTTTCAGCTTGGTCAAGATGCTCCAGGGTTTCTTATGTATTTTATCAACATTTATCGATATCAAAGATCCTTAAGCTTATTATGTGTTTAAGCTTGAAAAACCTTTGTTTAAATACCAACAAAGTACTCTTAAAATAGTCCACTTCTTTAGGAATAAAATGTCGTATTACCCACTCTAATCAGTATCGGATATCACATCATCTATTGACTGCCCCTCGTTCTTAGAATCCTTTTCCATCCTTGACCAACAAGAATTTTATTGGATTATGCAATGGTGTTTGGTTTCAAGAGGCCAGATTAGATCTTTCGGTCTCAAATATTTACATAAATGGAACAACAAAACCGAGAAAATGTGACACTTGAAAAATTTGTACAAATTAGACTAGACTGGCGCCAATCGCGTTTTGGTCTCTGGCCTGATTTATGGAAAAACAGCAGTTGGCCGGTTGAGGTCGATCGGCAATCCTCAGGAAAGGAACCACTTTGCAATTGAGTTGTCAAATGCGGGGAGAAACAAGTGGCACCTACTTGGAAATAGGAGAGTCTGTTATTATCCTTGTTTGTAATTGAGTCCGAAAACGATCCCTTTTCGGGAAAAAAGAAACACAACCTGATCGCATTCTTCTGGCTTATTACTTCATCAATATGCTCATTTTAACTGGAAGCAGTTGTTGTTTTTGAGGGACGTTGCATGTTTTGACATTAGCTCGGGTGTAATTGGAATCCCAGATCCTTTTTTCTTTTGGGGTGCTGCTTTTGGCGCAATGATCAATTTCCATTTGCACTTTGATCTAAATAGATTGGTTATCCATTTACTACCTGATCCATTTTAAAAATAGGACAGCTGTTCTGATTTGGCAACTGTTGTCCTTTCTGATCGTTTTATGCACTCGAAGAAATTTCCTTCTAAATACAGTAACAAGTAACCAAAACCTGTTTCTCTTTAAAGGCTAATTTGGTCGAGTGTAGGCCTCATGCCTGGCCGTGTTCGTAAGGCAATTAGCCCGGCATGAGGTCCTTAGAGCGCCTGGCATTCCGGCAAGTCACAATGAAATATCAGCTGTAGATAAGCAGCCTGCTCCGATTGCACCACATGCCGGAGAAACGCTTGACCGCTCTGGGTGCTTTCCATATTAACTCTCTAGATTCTCTCTAGACTGACCGCGGAAGTGACCAGCAGCACCCAGAATCAGAACCAGAACCAGAGCCTAGGGGGATCATCGCTTTTGTTGGAATCACGCCTCGACCCGACCGCCTGGAATGAAGTCGTTGCATCATAATTAAGGCCTCATAATTGCCGCCCCTGAGACGCTAGATTTGTGCCCCGGCACGGATCCCTTTTCCTCCCAGCTTCCAAAACCAGCTGCTCTGACCTCAACGGCCTCAATGCCAACCGCCGACAAAGTTGCCATTGTTTGAAACTTTATCGACATGCAAATATGTTGAAAAAAAAAAAACTAAACTCCCTACTGAAAGAGACAGCATCGGAGCTTTGAAAGAGAAGGGGATATAGTGGAGGGAGGTAGTTTTTGGACAACTATAGAGGCGAGACTACAAACAAAAAGAGGGGACTTGCCCCTTGGCCGGAAACCCATCGGATGAATGACACAAAAACTCCAAGTGGAGTCGAGTGGAGAGTGGCGAGTGTAGATTGTAGAGTCGAGTGGCCTATCAAATAAAATAGAATGTCCAGTTCGGCAATTTCCACGGGAAATGGTCGAAACAAAAGGACTAGGAGGTGTTGTCGTTCAACAAAAATACTATATATTTCACGTATTTTTTTTATTTTTTAATATCTTTATAAAGTTTGGGGCTTTATTTGTTTAAAGTTTTGGGAGGATATTCTGAGGGAGAGATCTACAAATCGTTTAAGATATTACTTAAATTTATATTAGAAAACTTTTAATTTACCTTATAATTACTTTTTACTTTTTGCCTTAGTAAGCCCTATTCCCTAGTGCCTTAAAACCTATAGAAAACATATAAACCCTTTAACTTCCATCCAAAAATATACAACACTTCGATGCAATTTTGATCTCAAGAACTCAGGTCTCAATAATGGATATTATTTTAACTTGTACATAACTAACAACTTATAAGTTTTTTGCGTTTTCTTATTTTCAAAAACCTATTTCTTGAATACTTTTTTTTCGCTTTTAAAGCTATCGAGCTCTAAGCTCTTTCTACTCTATTCCTCACTTTCTAATAAATTTATTTTCTCAGAACCTCCACAACTTCCAACCAAAATAATTGACCTCTAATTAAATATGACCTCCCCAGATTACTTAAATCATATTTTTCAATGAATGGTGTGTATTTTATTTTTAATAGGAAAATATTTAAGGAGTCTAAATGAAGACTATATCTTAAGAACATATATAAGTAATATAGATATTACTTTAATTTGCAAATAAACTTTTATTTAGTCTTTAATGTTGTTTTGTTTGTCTCTTTCCACAGTAGAATTATATTATGTTATGTTACTATATTTTCTTAGAGCCTCTCCAACTTTCATTCAAAACCATCCAAAATATTAAACATTTTTCGTAAATCCATCTAAAAACCACTATCAAGTTTTTTTAGTAATTGGCTCGTTATTTATTGATTTCAATGCAGAAAAGTGGCTTGTTTGTAGGAAAGTATTTGGACTGATTAAATACTGACAATTTCTTGGAGAAATATATACATATTTTATAGATATTACTTTAAATTACCACTTATAATGATTAACTTCTCTTTAACTTAACGTTTGATTATTTTTAAAAAGCATTTTTTCAAATAGTTTCGATTAAAAATCCTTAAACATATAGCCCCCCTTCAAAAATTTTGACCCAATTTCCTGCCCAATCTTTTATATTTTTCCCCGGAACTTAACAAAAACCTTCCACGGACCAGAGGCTTATCTAATTTTCCAGTAAATCACGACCAAATTGATGACATTATTACGGAAAAATGAACAAAAGTTGTGAGCCATTCTCTCGAGTGGAAAGAGACCAGAACGTCCTTTCGGCAGGACACGGCTTGGCATGTGTTGCCGAGCATGAAAATTGCAATTTTTCGGCAGATAATTCTCGTCCCGAAAATTCGGAAAGCCAGAAATCGAAAACAATGCTGCAATGTTACTCGCCAATTGGCGAAATGGAAGGACTGCCAATTGATTCGTTGCACCATCATTATGGATTTCCGATCCACGTCCTCTGAGGGAGTCCTCTACCTCGTGTCCTTTTGGCTTTTATTTTATTAAATTTTTGTCCTTTTTTTCTGCTAGTTTTTCGGAGTCCTGTTGGTTGTCACTTGGTGGGGTCGACCGCAGTCGTTTGGCCACAGCGGGATATAGTCTGTATGGATATCCTTTAAAAGGATCGATTTGAAAATTGCATAGATGAGCGTGACGTTTGAAAAAAAAAAAAAGAAGAACATTTTCAACGCCTTTCGTTGCGAGGTGTGATCTGTGATGTATTCATTTCGAGCCTCAGGACGATTATTGTAGTCCTGGCTCAAGTGCTAAGTGGTGGCGTGTGACCAATTTTTTGTTCAACATTGCAGCTGGAAAATGGACAAAAAAAAACGGTTTTTGTGGATAAAACGTGGTAGAAAATTAGGAAAATTTTCAAATGACAAAAAGAAACAAGAAACATTTTACCTAAAAATTGACTTTTTTTTCTTCAAAGTCAGCCTCTCAAATTGACTTTCAAGTCAGGAATAAATATATGTACCATATATATATATTTTGTATTATTTGCCCTTCGTTGCATTCAAAGGCATTTCACATTCAATTCTGAAGGAGAGACTAAAAAATAGGAAAGGAAATGAAATGACCGGAAGTTAAATCAAACCAACATCAAAATGGACAGAACCAGAGTCAAAGTCACAGCCAGAGAAGGTAGAGAGCTGGAGTCTCTGGTCTCTGGTATTCCAAACACGTAACCAACTAAGTCAAAATCAGAATCAAAATCAAAATCAAATGAAATATACAAATATACAAACACAAGCTCACGTTGACCTTTTTGCGAATAATTCAAATAAAATTTACACCTTTGAACCGAAAAATTTCACATGTCCCGCTTGGGGGGACGGGGGAAGTTGGACTTTCATTGATGGACTTTGGTTGCCTGGCTGACCGAAGGACTACAAGCGGAAATCCTTTTTCAATTTTATTTTATAACAAAATGGAGCAGCACCCAGACCCAAGCCAGTCTGGCCAAAAAATACTTGAAGAAAACTCTGACAGAGACTATCATCATATCCATTGATTAACCCTTTTAAGTCTGTAACTTTTCTCTCAGTGGGTCTCGCACAGCTGCTGCAAGTTATTGCCAAAATATAAATT